CCCCCGCCGCGCGTCGCCCCGTGCGCGCGCTGAGCGCCTCCCCTGTCCCCGCAGACACGGGCGAGCCCACGACGCTGCCGGCCGGCCGCCACGAGTTCGCGTTCAGCTTCCAGCTGCCCCTGTAAGTTCCGCCCCCAAGGGGGGCGGGCGGCGGGGACCGCGGGGTCCGGCCGGGACCGTCCCCGGTGGGAAGGGCCCCGCGCAGCGCTGACCCCTGCCCACTCGCAGGACCCTGGTGACGTCCTTCGAGGGCAAGCACGGCAGCGTCCGCTACTCCGTCAAGGCCACGCTGCGCCGGCCCTGGGTCCCCGCGCGCCGCACGAGGACGGTGTTCACGGTCATCGAGAGCCTGGACATCAACACCCCCGAGCTGCTGGTGCGCGGACGCGGCGCCGAGCGCGCACAGTCGCTGTGGGCCGGAGGGAGGCGGGCGGACCGGCAGGGGACCCCGGGAACCCCCGCCCCGCCGTGCTCACCTGCTGTGCGCCAGGCGGCCCTGGCCCTGCGATGGTTCGGGCATAAAAGCTGCTCGCTGAGCGAGTGCCAGCCACACCTGAAGTGCCGGGCTTCGTTTTGTTTGTGTGGCACAGGGTCTCACGCTGTAGGCCGGCTGATCTCAAGCCCCTTCTCCTGCCTCAGCCTCCCAAGCGCCGGGATGACAGCCGTGCGCCGCCACCTCTGGCTGGCTCGTCTTCCGTGTTACAATAGGGTCTTTTCTAGGAAGCTGCATTGTCTCTCTGATAGTTCTCAGGTGGTAAAAAGCGGCCAGGTCCTGCTGCCTTCGACCCACTGGTGTCCCTCCCGCCCCGGCAGGCACCCCAAGCAGGAGCCCGGGAGAAGGTGGCTCGCTCCTGGTACTGCAGCCGAGGCCTGGTGTCCCTCTCCACCAAGATTGACCGGAAAGGCTACACCCCAGGTACCAGGCGGGGCCCGCGGGAGACAGGCGCGCAGCGGGCAGGTGCGGGGGACACTGAGGCCCGACGCTGCCTCCCGCAGGAGAGGCCATCCCCATCTTCGCGGAGGTTGACAACAGCTGCACGCGCCCTGTGAGGCCGCGCGCAGCCCTGGTGCAGACGCAGACGTTCATGGCCAGGGGCGCCCGGAAGCAGAAGTGCCTGGTGGTGGCCAGCATGGCTGGGGAGCCGGTGGCCCCGGGGCGCCGTGCACTGTGGCAGGGCCGGCCGCTGTGCATCCCCCCGGTGGGGCCATCCATCCTGCACTGCCGCGTGCTGCGCGTGGACTACTCGCTTAAGGTACAGAGCCCTTCTGGCCCGCGGGGTGGGGTCCTCAGGGAGCAGGCGTGGCTGCCGCTGCACCCCCATCACGCTGCTCATTCCCTAGGTTTGTGTGGACATACCAGGCTCCTCAAAGCTGCTCTTGGAGCTGCCCCTGGTCATCGGCACTATCCCCTTGCACCCTTTCGGCAGCCGCTCCTCCAGCGTGGGCAGCCATGCCAGCTTCCTGCTGGACTGGGGACTGGGCACGCTGCCCGAGCAGCCTGAAGGTAGGCACCCTGTCCTGCTGGGGCACCCATGGGTGGCTGAGGCGATGTCTCACCGCAAGGCGGGTGGCCGCAGAGCCCCGCCCGCCGGCCTGGCTCACCCTGTTGCCCTTCCGTAGCCCCCCCTGAGTACTCAGATGTGGTGACAGAGGAGGAGGAGGAGGCCATGGCCGCTGCACAGAGCTGCTCCCCGTCACTGTGGGGCGCCCCCACGAGCCTCGAAGGCCCCTACTTCGCCTACCTCCAGGAGTGCCGCTACCACCCGCCGCCCCTGTACTCGGAGGTGAGCTCGGGGATCCCGCGTGCACAGCCTCCCTGGCCTCCCTGACCCCGGGTGCCTCAGACGTTCAAAGGGGACAGAACTCCTACGCATGCATCAAAACTCGAGCCTCTCTTGCACGCCCCACGCCCGTCTGCCCTGGGCAGGCACCAGCCCCTGCCTCACAGAAATCCTCCACTCAGGAGGATCCAAACCCAACGTCGGAGGCCGTGAGGCCGCGCTGCATGACCTGCTGAGCGGCGAGCAGCCCCTCAGGGATGAGGTCCCGCGAGAACTTCTAGCCGCCATGGCCGCGGAAGATGCTGGAGGGGAAGGGCCAGTGAGCCTGACTGCACTGGAGCCCCAGAACCTGAGTCTCAGAGCAGAAAGGACCAGCATCGCCATCACGCAGGACTGAGGAGGACCCCGGCAGGCCCTGGCATGTGACGGGAATCAGAGTCCCAGCACAGCCTCGGGGAAACGTGAGCCCGGCAGTGCCCAGTCTGCGGGAGACAGAGCCAGACGTAGACACTTGAGGCACCTGTAGGAGGGATCGGAGCGAGTCCCACGGGAAAGCAGAGAAGGCTTCCTGGAGGACATTTGACCTGGGGTTTTGATGTATGAATAGGAGCTCTGCATCAAGGGAGGAGGAAGACCAGTGAGAAGGATTTGGAGGTCACTCTTTTCTCTCAGAATCGGGGGCCTTGAGTGCAGGGATCCCAGCCAACGCCACACTATGAGCTTGGATGGCAAGAGGCCTGGGGATAGGGAGATTGGGAAGCCAGCTCACTGGAATAGTGGGGTGGCAGTCACTGGCCAGGGCAGGCGCAGGAGCCCTGTGGTCAGACTGTTGGGGAGGAGTCCCGCGGCAGGGGCCCTCGAGCAGGCCCTGGGCACAGGGGGCAAGGTGGAGTGGGGGGGGAGGTCAGCAGGCTCCCTGCGAGTCCCCTCCCTGGCTGGGGCTGGGCCCCGGGGACCCGGCCTCCCGGGCAGTTTGTCAGTCCACCACTTTGATACAATTATTTTTTTAAAAATAAAAAGTGTGGACCACGAGGCTGGCGCGCTGATTTGTCCCTGTCTGCTCAGAGGCTGGGGCGGCCACGCCCTGGGCCTCCAGCTTAGTTCTGGAGGTCCCAGGGGACAGTGCGGCCGGGGCCACGCGGAGATCCCGCCTGCTCTGTTGTGGGCTTTTCAGAAATAGTACTGATGTCCACCTGCAGAGAACGAGGCGCTGCCCATGCCCAGCCCACAACCCCACGCCCGGGGAGGGTCTGCCCCGCCTCACTCAGCGCCTGGCAGCCTCCCTGCGGCTCCTGTCTGTGAGACTCTGCCTATTTTCTTTTTTGTGGAGACAGAGCCTTACTATGTAGCCCAGGGTGACCTCTAAAGCAGGAGATCCTCTTGCCTCAGCCTCTCAAGTGCTGCGATGACAGGGGGTACACCACCACCCCGGACTGGTTTTGGTTTATCGTGAACGTATCAGTGGGTCACACATACTGCAGCCGTCTGTGTCTGGCTGCGTGGTTCGGCCTGTTTCTGAGGGGAAGCCCTGCAGCATGGATCAGTACCCTGCTCCTTTCCATGGCTGTGTAATATTCCATCCTGTGGAGGGAACATCTCATCTCTGTCCACCCATCTGTGAGGGGATGTTTGAGCTGTTTCTGTGTGTGGGCTACTGCACCGCCAGTGTGCAAGAAGGCTTGCTTAGCTCACGGCCCTCTTAGGCATCTGGTGGCATGGGATTGTCCTGGAGGTGAAAGCCTGCCCAAAAGATCGTGGGGGCTTCCCAGTCACTCATTGCGCAGGCCCCACAGCTCAGCTCCGCCCACGCCAGAAGTCCCGCCCCAAGGCCTAGCCACGCCCAGGGGGTGTGGTCACAGACCATCCTTCTGGTTGGACCAGAAAGGGCGGGGAGGCCAGATAATTGGTCCACGTCCCACGTGTTGAGTAGGAGGCGAAAGTTCTAGTTGCACGGCTCAGGTGACCAGAGTGGGCAACTTTTCTTTCTCTTTTTTTTTTTAATTTATTTATTTTGCAGTGGACATTGAACCCAGGACGTTCACACTGAGCTACACCCCTAGCTTGCATGCTTGCTAGCTTGCATTCTTTCATTCCTGGGACAGGGACTCACCGAGGCATTAAATAGTCAGACGGCTCAAACTTTCAAACCCTCCTGCCTCAGCCTTCCCGCTTGTCATCCCACCTAGGATGACAGGTGTGTGCCACGAGGCCTGGCTGGTTTCTGAGATACTTTATAAAGAACTACACGACAGGAGGCCAGGGCTGGGGATGCAGCTCAGTGGCACAGAGCCTGCCTGGCAAGCGCGAGGTCATGAGTTCTGTTTCCGGTGCCAAAAAAACTAAAACTAAAACTAAAAAACACGACAGGAGGTCAAAGGCTCCTAACCCGAAAATGCAGCCCCTATTTTAGGAGCTGGAAACGCTGATTTCCCGATGGGATCACCACCTGTGGTGCGTGAGAATCCGGGGCTCAGGTGGCCCCAGGAAAATGCCTACAAGTGAGAAAACAGGAAATTCAGCCCGGCGTGGTGGCCCACGCCTGCCATCCCAGCACTCTGGAGGCTGAGGCAGGAGGATTGCTGCAAGTTTGCGGCCAGCCTGGGCTACACAGCAAGACCCTGTCTCAAGAAAAAAAAAAAAAAAGAAGGAAACATGGGGCTCATGAGCTGATGGCAGGGCCACAGGACACAAGTGCAGGCGGGTCCCGGGCCCCAGAGCCCGCCCTGCTTCTGGGCACAGGGTCCCCCGGGGCCCCAGCACTCTGCCTGCACTCAAGCCCAGAGCAGGGGTCCCTGGGGCCCGCTGAGGACAGGAACCCGCAGCACGGTCCCCAGAGCCCCAGCAGGCAGCCCGGCAGGGCATGAGCTCCCCACCGAGGGGGGTGTGCAAGAGAGGAGCCTGTGTCACACCCGCGCCCCACGGCGAAGGCGGCCAGAGATGTTTACTCAGCCGCGTGTGCACAGCCGTGTCCCGGCAGGGAGGACAGGACGCCCCGTGTCCCCAGGACTCCTGACTCTGCAGCTCTGGGGAACCTGATCCCTAGAGAGACTTTCTGGGCCAGATCAGTGGCAAGCAGGGCAGAGCTGGCTCGAGGGTCCTCATCCTGGGCACCCTGAGCCCACCAGGCCGGGGGAAAGTGGCCAGTTATGCCCAATGGGAAATAAAAACCCCAGGCCCCAGCTGTCCCTCCGGTCCTTGCTGCAACGCTGCTCCAGGAAGTCCCTACCTCAGGACCTTTGCACAGGCCGTCCTTCGCCTTGCCTCTCCAGGGACACTCAGCTGCTGGCGAATGTCTCCCCCGTCACCCCTCCCACCCCTGTGCTCTGAGCCTTGCACGTCCTCCTCAGCCTCGGGAACGCCCACCTAGGTGCTGGTTTGTCCGAGACTGCGAGGTCAGGGCCAGGTCCTGGCTGCGCCCGCAGCCCCAGTGGGCACAAGGAGGAGGATTGTGGACTGACTAATGGCCAGCTTTGTTTGGGGGTAGAGGAGTCAAGGTTCGCCGTGCAGCACCACACCCGGGCTCCCCCTCCGCCGTCTCTGCGGCTGTTCCTCGCCTCTCATGTCTCTGTCACCATTTGTCCCTGGCAGTGGCCAGGTGCCAGGCCAGCAGGGCGGCCGTCCCTGCTTGTCCTCCGCCGGGCTGGCTGGCAAGGGGCCCAGCCGGGCTGCCGTTCAGGAATCCAGAGCCGCCAGCTCCAGCCACCAGCATGGCCACCGCCCGCTGCCGCCTCTGCCCCGGCACATTCTGTCCCGATCGGGATGGGGGCGGCTAGGAGGGACGAGTTCCTACCCGGCAGCTCCAGTTACGGCACAGCCTGTCCCCGGCCAGGTCTCCATGGCACGACCTGTGGAGCCTCCTTTCCCCAGCCCAGGCTTAGACCTTCCTGGATGAGGCCACTGCCACCAGCAGGAGGCAACCCCAGGACCTTTGCACCTGCTCTCCAACTGCCTGTGCCCAACCCCAGGTCCCTCGGGGCCCTCCTGCTCCCACATCTTGCGTCACTTGCCCGGTCCCTGGCCCAGCTGGCATCTCTTGCAGTTCCACACTCACTTGTTTGGCTGTGGAGTCTGCCCAGCCTCTGGATGGGCACAGCCGGGGGACGCAGGAGCCCTATCCCTGATGTAGGGAAAGTCCCCGATCCTTACAAGCATAGGCCTGGCAGAGGCCCAGGCGGCAGTGGTGACTCATGCAGCGGCTGTGCCTGGTGCCGACATCCAGGGGACGGCGGGTGCACGGGACGGGCGGGGGGGACGGGCAGCCAACTGCTCCACCCTACCCAGCTCAGCTCATGGGGAAACTGAGGCTGGCTGCGGGTACTCAGGGGCCCGCTCCGAGGCCCACTGCCTGGACTTGTGAGCAGCTCTGGACACCGAGGGGCTGTCCTTCCTAGAACAGTGTGGGGTTCAGAACCAGGCAGGAGTGCCGCCCCGGCCAGTGGCTCCGGGGGCTTGGGGCTCACTGGAGGCAATAAAGGCCTTTGTGCCCCCATGAGGACGACAAGAGTCCCAAGGATGCTGAGGTAAGGAGGGAGGACACTTCCTGCCCCTGAGGTCACTAGGAGGTGAAAGGGACACGGGAGGCTGGAGAGTCCTGGGAAGGTTACTGAGGAGACAGGACATCAGAGCTGGGGCTTTGATGGATGCAGAGGAGTTCACCAGGGAAAGGTGTTTTAGGCAAGAGACAGCTGGCATACTCTCAGCTGCCTTGGAGGCTCCACGGGCCAGGGCCAGAGGGGCACACGGACGGGAGGGGCCGGGTAGCAAATGGGGTCATCAGGTTAGCACCACACTCTGACCCTTGGTCTTCATCTGGCGAAGCCAGAGTGTGAGATGAGCACATGGGGCGCGGGTCTGCAGGGCTGGATTCCTGCCGAGTGCACGCGGCTGGCAAACAGGAAGGGGGCCCCCAAGGGCCGCGGCCGCCTTTCCTGTGCTCCCCCCACTTCCGCTGTGTGCGCGCGCCGGCGGCGTCTCTGCGCCTGTGCCTGCGAATCTAGGCCCCAGCGGTGCCCCCGGACTCCGGAACCCGGGCAGCCCAACGCGGGGCGCCCGTCGTCCCGCCTGCTCCAGCGGCTGAGGCAGGAAGAACTCCCCAGCAGTTTAAATCTCAAAAAATGCACAGGGCTGGGCTGTTGCCCAAGGGAAGGACGCCCCTGGCTTGGACTTGTGGAAATGGAGCCGTACCGGCTGCGGGCTGCAGGCCCTGCGGCCCCGGCCTCCTCCCCGCGGTCCTGGCGGCCGGCCTGTCTCACCTTGAGCATTTAAAATTTTTTTAATTTATTTTTTTAATCAGATTTTATTGATACATTTTAGATATACATAATGATGACATTCATCATAGAGAATTTGTACTTGTACATCTTGTACATAATATAAGTTGGTAGGGTTTTTTTCCTTCCCCCCACCCAATTCCTCTACCCTCCCTTCAACCCATTTTTTATTTTTTAGAGACAAGATCTCACTATGTAGCCCAGGCTGGGCTTGAACTCATGGGGATCTTCCTGCTTCAGCCTCCTGAGTGCTGAGATTACAGGAGTATCCACCATACCTGGCGAGCATTTTATTTATTTATTTATTTATTTATTTATTTATTTATTCATTTATTATTGTCCTTTTGAGACAGGGTCTCGCTATGCAGTTCAGGCTGTCCTTGAACCCACTCTGTAGCCCAGGCTGGTCTTGGACTCACAAGGATCCTCCTGCCTCAGCCTCCCAAGCACTGGGATTACAGGTGTGCGCCACTGCACCAGACTGAGCATTTTTATTTTTAATCTACCCATGTAAAATTCTTCTTAGGTCACCAGGACTTGCCAGCCCCTGGAGGAAGCATTCAGTGGGCTACCAAGCGTCAGGATTCAGCTGGGCCAGCAGCACACACCTGTGGTCCCAGTGCTCTGGGAGGCTGAGACAGGACAATCACAAGTTCCAGCCCAGCCTGGGCAATGTAGTGACTTACTGAGAGCCTGTTTTAAAATCTTAAAAAAACAACTGAAAGGGCTGGGGGTGGAGCTCATTGTGAGGGTCCCAGGTTC